AAAAAAATTGAGTTGGTGTCATTTAAAAAAAATTGAGTTGAGTTTGAGTATTATTTTTAAGTCAAGAAAACTAATTAGGTTTAGAGTTTGTAAGTAATCATAAGTGTTTTTTGCAGCAAATTTGAATGTGTTTTATTTTGCCAATAATTTTGAATTCTGATAAAAGCTATATACTTTTAATTTTTGATTTAGCATTTTCTGCCTAGTGCTGTTATATAACTATTGTTTTGTTTTCCCACAAATTAGTGACTTACAGCAGTTAGAGCAGCAGTTTGTTTTTACGAAGGAACTAGAAACATTGTTTCATACTGGCAGCTCCTCCAGTCAAAGCTGTGTTGATTGTAAAAAGTATTTCCTTTAATATATATTTTGTTTCTTGATATGTTTTTTTTATCATAGACTTAAAGTAACATAAGAATGGAAACATTATAAAATGATTAGCTACAGACATCTTTGTTATGCTGGTGATATGTGGATAACAACGCTACAGGAATTAAATCACATAAAAACCATCAGTAAAGCTCCATCCTTTTTCGAAGCAGAGTTAAATTAGTATGTCGTTACAACTTACTCAACATCATTAAGTTAGTCAAGTTGGATAAACATATGATGCACAGCTTACACATACTAACATTTTTGAGTTGTGTAAATTTGATTTTTGTATAATTTGTATAATTTTTTAAGTAAAATCTGCTTATCTGATTTACAGTGTAGTTACTTAGTTTATTTAAGGCAATCGTTTTCCAAGATTTTCCTAAGTATACTGTACTGTGTTCAGGTTAGTATGTTAAGTAAATAAAACGTAAAACCAATAGTTATACTTACATTTTTCAGGGCAATCTGTTTCCAAAACATTTTTAAGTAAAGTCAACCTGTCAAATTTTAGAGGGTACCAAGCTTCTGCCTCACAGAGCAGTCCTCTCCCATAACCCCCCACTCAGCTCCTTCAGACAAGCCAGCAGCAAATCTGCAAATACCTCACAGAGACTGAGCTCAGAGCAGCACTGGTAAAAACGTTCTTAAAGGGTTTCATAGAGGAGCCATGTTGTAATGTTGTAATGACTTCCTGAAGACTGAGTTTCATAAAAAGCAGGAGTTTTTAAAGAGGCAGAGACAAAATTTCAAGGTGTTAAATTAGGAAGTAAAATTTATTTTAATTTGATATTTATAGATTTTTTTCTATAATAACTGAAAGTTAACATACTGATTATGCTATAAAATGACACCATGGACTTGAAAAATACATAACTCTGTCCCTTTAAACTTGTCCACATCTGTATTCCTGAGCTGTCTGTTGTGCTGGTTGTTCTAAATGATGCTGTTTGGTCACCGATGTTCTCTAACAAACCTTTAAAGACTTCACAGATTTTATTTGTGACTTCTTAAGACAATTGGTAGTTTTTATTTAGGTGTATGAGTGTAAAGGAGCAGGATCAACTAAAATGTTTGCCACATTTTTCAGAATTTCATTGCCAGAACGTTAAACTCCTTGTTCTGCCTCTATCACCCTGTACAGGTCTCAGTAACATCATTGGCATCATTGTGTACATATCAGCCAACTCTGGGGACCCCAGTCAGAGTGACAACAAGAAGAGCTATTCCTATGGTTGGTCGTTTTATTTTGGAGCTCTGTCTTTTGTGCTGGCCGAGATGGTGGGTGTCCTGGCAGTACATGTGTTTATAGAAAAGCACAGGCAGCTTCGCACCAAAGGCCAGCCCTCGCTCATGAAGCCTCCAGTCTCCCGAAACTCATCATCATACCGCAACCGCTACTACAGTCGCAGCAGACGCTACAGCTACCGCAGCAATCAAAGCACAGCAGACTCGACCTGCCATGGTTACCAAACATCACTAGTACATGACCAGGAGCCAAGCATCTCAGCTGAATCTAAAGTCACCATGGTGGCTGGTCTGCCTATGCCAATGACGATGGGCTCAGAGTTTATGCTGTATGCTTTAGCTTCACCGCTAAAGCAGAGTAAGATTGACTTGGGGGTGGAGGACTTGACAACTGCAGCCCCTCACAACATAGACATGCTGCCGGGAAACTGTGTGTCCAATCGAAGAACCACTCCTGTCTGAGCAACACAGGGTTGATAATGGGCAAAAGACAGTCATCTCTTGGACCTCTCGACACGAGCAGAGTGCAGACTTTTTTGTTGATCAAATATTTACTTCAGATGCAGACTGGATAATTTTTTCTTTGATTTATAACAGTAAAGCAGTCAGGAAGAGCACAGTTTAATATCCATTCATTTTGCAGTAGCTTGTGTTGCTAAGGTACATCAGCTGACACCAGAAATGTACATGTACTGGGTAGGAGAGTACAACCATGTTTCTCACTTTCTGACATTTAACTGGACAAAAATATTCCTGATTTTGGTTATTTATGATTGCCAAATCATTTCTTTTTGCTTAATATTAGAATAATGAGATATTCTTGCTTTCTGTAAATTCAGAAGTTTTGTTATTAAGCTATTTAGAAAAGCCCAGATGATGATGACATAACTTTGTAAGCTCTTCTATGTTAATTCACAACATTTGTGTTAAATGAAGATACAACTATGAGTGTTGTATTTTAAGGACAACACTCAAACCCACTGCTTCCTTGTGTGGCACCATGGGAAAAATATAAAAATCAGCGAAGATATCAGGAAGTGTGGTTCGTTCTCGGGTTCAGTGAAAGAACTCCATTTTTCTCTTCAAACATTTACATGCAAGTGTTATGGATATATGATTGTTTTCCTCTGTCTCTTTTATCTGCACACACCCACACCCACACATACACACAATGCTGCATGCTTTCAAAAATATAACATATTAGAATGGAGATAGTCACACATAAACAAAAAGTTAGGGTGCAGAATGATAAGATTAAAGAAGACTCGCGCTACACTTTGTTTCAGTTGGAGTCACCCCTAAAGTTAGCTGAGTGGAGCCCAGCCCTGGATGGTGAATGTATCTCTGTATTTGTAACATTTGTATGACATGTAACATTTGATCATTTTCAGCATTAAAGCCTGTTTTATACTTAAACAATTCTTATTATTCCTCAAGATAATTCTGAATTGGTAAATAGACCTGAGTGTTGCAAGGAAGGGAAAAGGGTGCAACAGAACACATGTATAAAAACCACTGTAGTTTTCAGTCAACATTCCATTCAGGGAAAGAGCAATTTCTGTTGCAGGGATAAACCTGTCTGGTTGTATAATTGTCTACATCAACACAAGAACACACACATCTGCACACACACACGTGCACACACACACACTTGTGTGTGTGCGCAAGTGTGTGCTTCAGCTTGTAAAACTGCTGAAGCTGGTTAGAAAGTTTTATTGCCCAGAGTGAAGCAAATCCTGCACAAACATGGGCTGAAAGGTCACTCAGAGAAGAAGAAACCATTGCTCCAAAAGGAACATACAAAGGCCAGCTGCATGTGCACTCAGGGACAAATTCATTAATTTTTGGAGATGTACTTCAGTCTGGTAAAACTTATATTAAAGGGGCAGTATTATGTAAAATTGTTTGTTTTTTAGTTTTACATCATGTTATTACGGAGCCCCCCAG